TTTGAGAAGTGTAGGACTTTTTTGTAAAAAATTTTTCATTTTTTTAAAGTATCCATGGGGGCTTAGGCAGACTGAATCACCCATTCTCTACTCTCTCATATTTCAGTAATGAGCATTCATTGACTGAATCCTCTCTGCACAGGACTCTGCATATGCCATGACTAAATGGAAGACAGACCACACCTGTGCATCTCAATTCATTATTATATGATAGATACTAAGAAGGTATTATATTCTGAAGGACCCAAGTAGGGGGCATGTACCCCCAGTTGCAATTTCAGAGAACAAGTTTAGTGACATCTTGAAAGATATCCAAGATAATTCGGTCTCTAAACAACAGAGAGGAATTCAAGTCAGTGCTCACACTGAGCAAATAAAAAGTTATAAAGTATCATAAGGCACCCATGGAACTGTAAGAAGTTTTGTAATACTATGACATCAGACATGAGGCTCAGCCTCTCCTATGTGTTATATAAAAGAATCAGCCTTTACTTGTGGAAAATAGATTGATCCAAATTGTGTGCAGAATTATCTTGTTATTGAAAATGTCTTTAATCCAGGCTTACTAAAGATTTAAAAGTTCTTTTCTCCAAGTTAGGGCATAATCTCTTTTTTTTCCATGCCATTATGTAAGCTTCCAGGTGACCTCTTAATCTTTAGAATGTACTCCTAAACATTCTTGAATGTCTGCTTCTCCCTATGTCCAATATAGTTTTATCAAATGGCTAAATTTTAAAATTCTCTTGAGACTGATGAATCTGGCCAATATGGGGTTCCCTGATAATTATTTAGTGCCAGTTTTTCTTAGTTGAAAGAGCCCTTGTGAGAGAAGAAACTAATAGCACTTTTCACAGCAGAGGACAGAGGAATGAGTAGAATCAGGTGAAGAGTGCACCCTGGCAGAGAATCTCACTGATGGCCTGAAAACACTAAGTTTAAAGTCAGAAAAGGATAGGCAGGAGAGGGAGAGACAGGTCATAGAGGAGAAGATAAAAAAGAACTACAGTATGGGTAGAACAGAGAGGGATTCCTCTTCATTTCAAACCTCACCCTAATGGGTCTTAAAATGAAACATTAGCACCTATGTACTTGTATATTTTATTACTAATTAGACCTAACATACTTGTCAGTTTTGATTGAGGTGTTTAGTGTACAGTATGCTCAGTTGAGCAGGGGTGAGCTCTTTTAGATCAAGATTGATGTCACAACAAGTAATGGAATGTTTCACTTAGGTAGTTTGGTTCTTTGATATCTGCAAATATTTTCAAAACACAATATTTTTCAAAAGGTTTCTACATGGTATTTTGTTATGAAATATTGCAAGAAATAACGTGGTTTGAAAAGTACTGACAATACTGTAAAAAGTAAACAATTGGCATTTCCATTTTCACTTACAAGAATTTCCTTTTTATTTATTTTTTTACTTATATTGGAAGTTTCATTTGTTTTTCTTTAAAGAAGAAGGCAATGAATGACTTCAAGCCCACTTCCAAACAAAACACAGCTGTATTATGTTATTTGCTCCCTTTTCAGTATTACAGCCTGGGAGAATTTTTAAGTACTATTTACTTATTGATGACTTAAAATATCTGTTTATCAATAGGCTATTCCTTTAATATTAAATATTATAATGATTTCTACAGTTAAAATGTTTACACCTAACATCTTTTTAAAAATTTTTTTAGTTGTAGATGGACACAATACCTTTTTTATTTACTTAGTTTTATGTGGTGCTAAAGATTTAACTCAGTGCCTCACACATGCTAGATAAGCACTCTCCCACTTAGTCACAACTCCGGTCCCACATAAATCCTTTAATTTAATTACAAAATTGTGTCCAGTGGATAATATTAAAGGGTTGAGAGAATAATTTGGCTGAGATACTGGTTGTAATTATCCCTATATACAGAAAAGCAACCTGTGTCCCAGTGGGGTTAAGTGATTGCCTCAAAATGGAAAATTCATGAGAAGGCACCACCAGGCCCCAAGTAGTCATTGTATAATTCTATAAGGTAGAGACTTTCATAGAAATATATACTGACCATGTGCCAAAGATTGAATTCATGAATGAGAAATTTAGAAACATGACAAAGTTGGTTGGAAGGACATGGGGAAATCATATATATATATATCAATCACAGAGTCTGTTGAAAAAAACGTTGTAAGAAAACTGCAACAAACTGGGGGTACTGTATATACAAAACTGGATAATATTCTATAAGGCAAGAAAACCCTAAATTTTGGAGTTACATTTTCTAGTAAACAGAAAATATTTGCAGCTAGTTAATCTTTCTTAGTTTAACATTTAACTTCAGAGAGTTCATGTACAAATGTATAGTACTAGTTAGTCAAAGTTATCTTCCTCTATAGCAAAAGTTAGCAAACATTTTTATATGGCACCAGGTAGCAAATATTTTTGACTTTGTACACCACAGAGACATTGTCACATCCATCTAGCTTTGTTATTAATATTAATTTATATTAATAGCACTATTAATATTAATAATAATTAATATTAATTATTAATGTTAATTAATTAATATTCATTACCTATTGCCAGTAGCTGCTTTCTGCTTTCAGCCGCTATTGGCAATAGGTAATGAATAAAGATGACTCTGTTCTCATATGTCTGTATTTACATCAACAACAACAAAAGAGACAATGGCTAGATTTGACAGGACATAGTTTTCTAATCCATTTGTCCTAGATTGGACTGAGGGAGATCCCATATCCAACATTATAAGAAATTAAAAGTGTTGGAGATGTGGGGAATTAGCTCAGTGGTAGGGCACCCATGGGTTAAATACCCACTACCCCCCAAAAAATATGTTTTAAGGAAAAATTAATCATATTGAAAATTCTTTATATTTAGTTATTATCACATATGACTTAGAATAAATTCACCTATAGCACTACTACTATATGTTCATTGGGATGCTAGAAAGAAAGTAAAAGCATCATTTCAATTGTTTAATGAAGTACAACATTGAGGTAATAATAATTTCATAGGAAAGTTATTCAAACTTTAATGAATATATGAAGAATATGCCAAAGTCAAACTGTGATTCTTTTTTGGATTTCCAACATGTAGTACCAAAATTTTACATTCCTTTTTATTAATTAAGCATAATCTACAATCTAACAAAAATGATTAATCAGAAACTGAAGTTGTGTGTTAATTATGATCCATTGAAACATTTTATATTTGCAGTATAAGGTTTTTATAGTATCTCCAGCTTGCAAAACTAACATTAAATACTGTGTGGATTAATAGCTGTCAAGTGTGCTCTACTTTCAGTATAAAGTAATATAAATTAGCTTCATAATTTGTCAATTAATATAGTTCATCACTTCTGAAATTCTTTTAACTCTTATGCGCACTTACTGCTATAGTTACAGGTACATATTTTTCTGAAAAAAAATTTTTCTTGATTCTTAAGTTATAAGAAATAACTTTGGTTCTGTTTTTTTTTTCTCTCTGTATTTCAGTTTCCTGATTGAGCAGGCTACAGAGATAAGACATTTCTGAGTAAACTCAGTGGAGAGTGAACCAGACTTAAGGCAATGACCCTGAGCAGCTACCATCAAAAACCTTTGTGCTATTTTCTCCAGCAGTTTTTCTCATTAAAAAATAAATACACTTTAAAGCATTTTCTTTTCCTAAAAGTTATTCAAGGTTGAAAAATGAATTCATTTCATTTAAGAAAAAAAATCTATTTTTTTAAATAATGGAATAGTCTTATTAATAAATGTTTAGCCTCTTTCTCTTTCTGTCTCTCCATCCATATTCCCTCCCACTCACATTAAACATCTTTCATAAATCAACGTTGTTGTGTCCTCTAGAAATCAAGTAGCCTGTAGTTTCCTATAGAACACAGTTCTCACTTTATATGAATAGTTTTTGGCAACAATTCTAGAGCTCATTTCCCCAATTTAGAGTTTCTTTACTCTCATCAGTCTACCACCACAGCAGAATTTCTTAATTATGTTGTTAAAAATATCATGTGTCATGCAATGCCCACTATTTTGCCTAAATATGGGTATTATTAGTAAACAAATAAGCAAAACTGGAAAAAATTAATATCTCAGGCAACAGAAGAATACCTTCAACCACGGCTATATTGCTAGTACATCAGACTCAGGAGAACAAAGCTTAGAAAGGTGTTGCATATACAGTCTCACCTCCACCCAGCTTTCTTTTGTAAAGGCTTGCCTTTGCCCCAGACCTTAGATATCAAACATTTATGACCAACTTCGGGGGAAAAAATAAAAGTCACTTCCTGTTGGAATATGTTCTCGGCCAACAACATCAAGAAGATGAGAAAGTCTGAGTTAATGGCTGAAGTTATTAATTATAAACTTAATTTTTGAAGAAAAGAAATTAAGTTTGCTATAGCAATTGAGTTGCTTTGCTAATAATTTCTTTGATACTGAATTGGGTTCTAAGGGCAGCCTTAAAATTAACTAAAAGTGAACTGGCATAAAACAGCAGACATTTGGGGGCTGTAAGTCTGAAGTCAAGATACCAGAGGACTGTGTTCCTCTGCAGTCTCAGGAGAATGTGCATGCTGTTCCAATGTCTGGGGACCCAGGCGTTCCTCACCCAGAAGATGCCTCTCTGCTTCTGCCTTCACATGGTATTCTTCCTGATTCAGTGTCTAAAGTTCATTCTTCTCATAAGGACACCAATCATATCGGACTATCTTCCCTTCCCTTCCCGATGTATTTTGGGTGTGGGAACGTGGCTCAGCAGGGACGCGCCTGATTGCAATAGAGGAGACCTTGGGTTTCATCCCTAGAACCGCGAACAAAGAAAAGAAAAAAAGTAAATGATTCCGATTGCATTTGTTAAGAACTCCATTCTCAAAAGGGTAAAACACCCGTGGAAACCGAAAGCTATCCGTTTCAGGGCCCATTCCCTTTGTCCTGACGCAGGGCAGGAACCCGCAGTCCACGCCCCATCTCGTAGCTCCGCCCCAATACCCCTGGGCACAGCCTTGCCCTGCTCGCACAGGTGCACGCACTGGCGCACGCGCTCATGCTCGCTCGCTCGCCCGCAGGCACCGCCAGCTGCTTCTGCGCCCTGGGTTTCTGGGAGGCCTGGAAGAGGCCGGCAGACGGGGGAGAAGGACGTACCTTCCAGTCCCCCAGGTACTTCCTGCTGACTGCTGCCTGGGCTCTTCGCTTCTGGTCCCACGGCTTCGTCGCCCTCTGGGGAGGCATGGCGTCACCTTTCCCCTTTGCAGTCCCCGGTGAGGTCCTGGGGACTCTCACAGAGGCAGCCTGGGCCCTCACCACCGTTCTGCTGTTGGCTTTCCCAGAGCCGGGAGGAGAGCCTCAGGTAGGGCGGACTTCAGTATCCCTCGCTGTGTGTGGCAGCGGGCACTGTCCTGGCTGGAGAGGCTTCGGGCGAGGAGTTGGGCGAGGCAGTGCGTGGAGAGGGGGCGCGCTGTCTGTCGCTGTGAGGCACATGGCTGGGTGGATGCAGTGGAGATTATAGTTGTAGGCCAGTGGGGCAGAGGAGGGGTGTGCTGTTCCTGGTGCTCACTCCTTCAGGCGGCTGAGTGGGTGTGGTGGGGTTATAGAGCTCATAGTTGGGTGTAGTTGTGGGACAGTGGAGGGGGTGTACTTGGGAAGCTGCTGGAGGTGGAGCCCCTCTCCTGAACTGGGGAAGGGGAAAGGGAGAAGAGTAAAACACGTGAATTCAAGGGAAGCTTGTCTCTATTGTTAAAAGTATGGATGTATCATATTTTAAAAACTGTTCTGAACTATATCTGCAAGTGTTTTTTTTTTTCTTCACAGAAGTAAATTCCAATTTTTCAGTGTAAGTCCAGCCATTATCTGATTTGTAATGATTCATTTTTTAAAATATACCAATGGCTTCCATATTTTAAAACGACCCATTTTATGGAAACCATTTTTGAAAGTCCTCGCTTAATTTGCCTTATATTTCACTATTTCCCAATAAGTAGAATTACTCTCCATTGACATTTTTCTTTATGCTGTGCAAAGGATATATTCGTTCTGAAATACTTTGATGTGCATTCTTCCAGTGTGTCTAATGCATGCCTCATGGAAAATCAGTTATCAGTTGGTTTTGTCTTAAAATGAGAGATAAGCACTGGAACTGAAATGGTCAAGTTTTTAAGGCATTCACCTAATGTCTTCTGATGACATTTTTCTCTATTGAGACATGTATTTTATAAATGCATGTCTTTGTAATAACACACATATTGCATGCCTTTTGTTGTTTATACAACCAGTTATAGTAAGAAAAAGTTTTTTTGTTATTGTTTTTATTTCACATTATCATTTGATGGTTTTGAACATGTGTCCATGTTCAATAGGTGGGGATTTATTAAATTTATGATCAGCATCTTGATAAAAGAGGCTGTTAGCCAAGTTAGGGTTAATTTTCATTTTACCACAGGGTCATATGTCATAACTAGATTTCACTTAGGGGTAACACAAGTTAACACCAAAATAGACAATTAAGAATATTAACATATTAACAAGCACTATTAAAATTAATTTTTTTTGCCTTTGAGATTTTACCATGGGATTGAGAACTACATGAGGAATATCTCTTAGAAGTTATTTTAAGTGTAGAAGCTTAATACATTTGCCTAGATGCAACCAAGCTTATATATTTTAATTGAACTACTAAAACCTTAAAATCATATCACCTTTTGATTTTCAATATGTAGAATACTTTCTGAGGGTTGGTTATAATTGTCTGAGTTCACTTTATAATTTTTACCATTAAGAGTACCTCAAAATGCAAATGAAGACTCTCATGAGGAAAGTAAATATGTGAAGTTTGGTTTTCCCATAGCAGTTCTGTGGAGCATCCCAGAGCCCCAAAGTCCCTGATAAGCTCCTCTAGTTGGACATTGTAAGTCTTGCTAAGTGCTGCTGATGGTGGGGTATGATAATGGTAGTAGAAAAGAAGAGAAGGGATGCATACTTGATTTTTTTAAAGTTTCTTCTAATTATACATGACAGTAGAATGAATTTTGAGATGTCATACGTAAATGGCATTTAACATCTCATTCTTCTAGTTGTATGTGGTATAGAATCATATTGGTCATGTGTATATGTGTACTTAGGGTAATAATGTTCATTCGTAGGTATTCTTCCTACTCCTTTACCCTCCTCCCCTCCCTTCACTCACCTCTGCCTAATTGAAAGTACCTCTATTCTTCCCTAGAAGGAATCCTCCTGTTTCAGTCTCCCACCTCATTGGCATTACAGGTGTCCACCACTGTGCCTGGATTTCATTCTCATTTATTCTGACTTCATGGGTAATATTTCTTTTCTCAAAGACTTATTTCGATTGGCACATAGTAAGTTCATATTGATATGGTATAGTGTAATCATTTTGTTTCATGGGTAATGATCTATCTCAACTTCTATCATTGCTTTGTTGTAAATATATATATTTAAAACATCTTCCCTATAGTTAGTTTTGGATATACAACACATTACTTCAGCTATATTCCCCCAGTTCTGCCATAGAACACCATAAATTATTCCTCCTAACTGTAATGGTGTTCTGGTTGACAAATCTCTCTGCATCCTCTCACACTCTTCCCAGCTTCTGGTAACAACTATTCTCTTAACCGCTGTGAGATTTATTGTGTTAGATTCGACATGTAGGTCAGATCAGGTAATACTTGTCTTTCTGTGCCTGGCTTATTTTATTTAGCATAATGTCCTCCGTGTCCATCCATGTTGTGTTGCATATGACCAGACTTCATTTAATTTTATGGTTTCATAATATTTCTTTTTATATATCACATTTTTTAAATTCAGTTTGTCAGTTTATGGGCACTTCTGTTGTTTTCATTTCCTGGCTATTATGAACTGTACTACAATCAATACAGTAGTTAAGGTGTTTCTTTAACATGTCCATTTCATTCCCTTTTGTGTAAATCCAAAGTGGAATTGCAAGATTATGTGGTAGCTCTACTTTTAGTTTTTGGAGGAACCTCCTTATTGTTTTTTGTAGCAACTGAACTAGCTTACATCCAACTATCACATTCTTCAAAAATGTTTTTTGTGATTTGCCTACCACATGTATCCCAATACTTTCCCTAATATTATGGCTTTCCAAATATGAAAATATATGCCTAGCCAAACCACTATCTCACTATTTTCAATAGTGTCATGTAAAAGGAAAGTTTCTAAAGTTTCTCAAACAAACAATGACAGTTTCTGTCTGGAACTTTATTAGATTTTTATGCAGAGTTATCTTTGACTTTCTTAATCATTTCCGCAGTTCATTTCAATAAACTTAATTTTTAAGTTTCCACTGTATTATTAGTTTTAAAAATTGATTTGTTATTTTTACTTTACCATATTTTTTAATAGTGCCTCAAATCTACCTTTGTATCCCAGATACTGTTGAATTTATGTATTGAAATGCAAGAAATAAAATGGCCATGTGAGGCATGAATTTAAAAAAAGAATAATTTGATATTATTTAAAAATAATTTCAATAACAATGCTATGAAATTAAGATGCTAATATTTCAAATATATTTATTTTTCTAGCACTTAAGACAAATAATCAAACTAATCACCAAGAAAATAATAAGTACATGCATTATTATTTAGGCTGTTTATATATCCCTGTGAGTCTCAGAATTATTGCCTTTTATTTGGTTCTAAAGAAAAGTCATATATTACTATTGCTGCATCATTTAAATAAAATCTTTTTCATTATTGTTTTAGTTCTGCCTGGCATTTCAAGTATTTCTAGTAGACTTAGTGTATTAACTTATTAATATATTCTGCTTAACTTGCATGGTAGATTCTTTCAGATTATGTGGGAATATTTTGACATGCATAATGTAGTTTTATTTGGTCAACATACTGTTTTCTTAAGCTATATAATTATGAACCATACAAACAAAAATATTTTACACAGGTCACATCAAAATGAAGAGAAGTAAAGCAATTTCATTAAAAATATAACATTTTGTGTTCACCATTGAGCATCAAATTTCTTAATTATCATATCTTGTCATTTTTCTCTTTCATTTCCTAACACAAATTATATTATTTAATACATCTTATAAAAAATTGAATTTTTTGTTTGTTTGTTTGTTTTTGTTTTGGTGGTCCCTATGGGAAATTTTTTTTTGTAGTGCTGGAGATTGAACCCAGGGCTTTCTGCATGCAAGCCAAAAACTCTACTAACTGAACTGTCTCCAGTTCTTGAATTCTTATTAATAATTTTTTTTCCAGCTAAAGTGAAATTTTCTAAATATTTCTATGTGTGTGTATAACACATAACATGACTATGGGTAATATTACATTTATGTACATTCATACAACACATATGGGGAGAGAAGGAAAGAATGACTATTTTTTAAAAATATTTTTTAGTTGTTGATGTACCTTTATTTTTTATTTTTTTAATTATTTTAATTTATATGTGGTGCTGAGGATCAAACTCAGTGCTTCACACATGCCAGTCAAGTGCTCTGCCACTGAAGCACAATACCAGCCCCAGAATGATTATTTTTGTGTTTAGGTAATGATATTTGTCTGTATGTGTATTTTTCCTATAAAATTTGAACTTAAAAGTGAAGTACGATAAAGTGATCTGAAATTAAATAGTTAATAAACAGAAAAATTAAGATTCTAAGTCTGGTCTGGTGCTACATTTATTTTTCTATAATAGGCCTTTGAATATCAGATATTGATCAGGTAAAATCAGTAACATGAAACTGATTATCTGGGGAAGATAATGAATATTAAACACATTTGAGAAATTCAGAATATCAACTGTGTTTCCTTTTTTTCCTTTTTCTCTTTTTATCATGGTTTTTTTTCCCCCCACTAATTGCAAAGTATAGCACCTGTCACGACCTCTTTTGTCATCCACTTTGGCTACCTAAATAATTTGTTTAGAAAATTTATAATGTATTATCCACTATGATATATAATTGTAAAAGTTTGAGACAAAGGTTTTCAACTTTTTGTACATTATTTTCATTTCTTTGATTTTCTCACATTTATTTTAATGAGAACACATGTAATGGGAGATAATATTTTTTTTAATTTCAATGTTGTAATTTTTGTAGGTCTTGATCTTCATGTTTGTTGTAATATAGAGTTATATACTATCCAGAGAATAATCTT